TTTCCAAAATTACTTTGGCAGTTGTACGTTCTTTGCATTTATATGTTAACTTTTTAAAAAAGATCTATTTATGTATTAGAGAGAGTGCATGCGAGCGGGTGGGAGGGGCAGAGGGAGAGAAGGAATCCCAAGAAGACTCTGCTCTGAGCACAGAGCCCAGTGCAGGGCTTGATCTCATGACCCTCGATCATGACCTGAGGTAAAATCAAGAATCTGGATGCTTAACTGGCTGTGGCATCTAGGTGTCCTGCCAAATCTGCTTATCAGTTTCTTGGTAAAAGCTTGCTGGGATATTTTTATTTTTTATTTTTAGTAGGCTCCATGCCCAGTGTGGGGTTTGAACTCATGACCCTGCAATCGAGGGTCACATGCTCTCCTGATTGAGCCAGCCAGGCTCCCCGCTTGCTGGGATTTTGATTGGAGTTACATTATAGATCATTTTGAGGAGAAATAGGCATTTTAACAATGTTGAGTATGTTTTGTTACTGTGAAAAGTATTTAAAAAAACAATTCATTTTCCACTTGTTTGGTTACAACTTTATAGAAGCCCAGTTGATTTTTGTGAGTCGGTCTCGTGTCTTGCCACCTTGCTTATTATTTCTAGTAGGTTTTATTTTCTAAATTCTTTAGGATTTTCAATATACACAATTATTCTATCTGCAAATACAGTTTTAACTTCCTTTCCAATCTTTTTATTTCTTTCCTTTCTCTGTGTATTCACTGGCTCAAGTGGCACTCCTACCAGCCATGTAGGAAAGTTCAGTCATTCTGCATTCTCAGCGGCACTTGCGTTACCCATTTAAACAATTTTGAGCCACTCCAGTATCGCCCTGTGGTTTTAATTTGCATTTTAATGACTAATGATGGATGAGTATCTTTTTATGTGCTAGTTATTAACTTATTAATAATTTTTTTTAAGATTTTATTTGAAATGAAATTGGAACATGAACATCCTCCCATTTTCTTGTTTTTCAAAATTATTTTGTCTATTTTGGGTCCTTTGCATGAATCTGAGACTCGACTTACCAGTTTCTACAAAAACATCTGCTAGGATTTTGATAGATTGCACTGAATCCATGGCCTGGTTTGGGGAGAATTGTCATCTTAAGGATATTGACGATTCTATCCATGACATGGAAATGGAAAATTGCTTTCCATTAAAATAGTATGCTTTATGGGGCACCTGGGTGGCTCAGTCGGTGAAGTGTCTGCCTTCAGCTCAGGTTATGATCCCAGGGCCCTGGGATGGAGCCTTGTGTTGGGCTCCCTGCTCCGCGGGGAGTCTGCTTCTCCCTCTCCCTCTGCCCCTCCCTGCTTGTGTGTGCACTCTTTTTCTCAAATAAATAAAAGTAAGTCAATAGTATGCTTTTGCACATACCTCAGATTTGCTCATGTTTAAAGAAATACGGAAAAAAGAAGGGTATCATTATGGGTTATATAGACAAATATATTTATCTTATTGTTAAAATGCTTCACCACTAAAAGCAAACTGGTCACGGTGACTTGAGGCTGAGGAGCGTGCTGCCCAATCCTTAGCACTTTTTGTCCCCTTTGCTTCCCATTTCCAGATTCCGGGGAGCAGGTCCTCGTGGATGTGGAGACCAAGAGCAATAAGGAGATCATGGAGCACATCAAGAAAATCCTAGGGAAGAACAAGTGAGTTGCCGGGCCTGACCTGGAGGGGAGCAAATGTCTCAGCACGGAGTGAGGGAGGAAAAGGAGCGTCAGGAGGGCGCGCACCAGCCGGAGCTCACGGGCTGCAGAGGCCGTGCCCTCGGGGTTTGCCCTCCCCAGATCCCCAGCTGTGCGGCTGTAAGTCACTGAGCCTATGTGAGCTCTCCCTCCCTCTGCTGTGAGGTGGGGTCAGAGACCCCCCTGCCTCCTCGGGGCCATGGGAAGCTGAGGTGCTGTGGAAACACTCACCTGGGCGGTTGCAGCCACCTGTCCTTAAGAATCTCTCCTTGGAGCTGGTGGGTGTCTAACCCCAGTATGTGTTGGGGATCTGTCCTTTCTCTTTACATGGATGGGAGGAAGGGGAAGGAAGCCAAGAAACTGCGTCTTGGAGGAAGCGCACAGAGGCCTTTGCAGGCCCCTTCCCCCTGACCTTGTGCTGCCTCAGAGCTGGGGCTGCCTCTGGGCTGGAGGGAGGCTGACCGCGGCTGTGTGGGCCCTGTGCGAGCCGGCTGGCCTGGGAGGCCTGTGGGGGAGGGCCGGCAGACTTTGGGGTCGGGAGAAGGTTGAGAGGCACGGCAGAGCCCGGTCTCCCTGGCCGCTGGGGGGGTGCACTTGGCCAAGAAGTGCCACGCTGCCTAGAGGCTCAGAGCGCTGTTCCCACACCTGTTGCTCTCTGTGCTCTTCGGCAGGGAAACCCTGGAGAAGGCGGAGCAGGAGAAAAAGCAGCTTTCTCACCCAGCCCACTTTGGGCCCCGAAAGTACTGCCTGCGGGAGTGTATCTGCGAGGTGGAAGGGCAGGTTCCCTGCCCGGGCCTGGTGCCCTTACCCAAGGAGCTGACGGGGAAGTACAAAGCAATGCTGAAGGCCAGCACCCAGGACTGAGGCCCCAGGCCACACCCAGGGAGGCCTCTGGTTCTGTCCCTGACGGGACTCTGAAAGATCTCTTTGCCATGAGAGGGTCCCCTTCGCACACCTGTGTGAAAGGACGTGGCAGGGTCGGGGGAGTATCTCCGCTCTATCAGGTCAATAAAATGCGTCCTCTCCCCGGCATGGTGATGTGTGTCTGGTCCGGTGGGCACGGGAGAAAGGCCCGCGTGGGGCTGGGGAAGGTCTGAGGCCACAGCCTGCTGACATCCCTGTGTTGGTCCTGCCGCCCTTTCCTCGTCTCTGTTTGCTTCGATTCTTCTTCCAGGCCCTGCTCGGGAGAGTTAGGAGCTGCCGGGGTTGGATCTGGTAGGATCTGGCTGGAGCTAGGTGGTTGGCAACGTGGAAGTCCCTCTCCGCTCAGGCTCTTTGGGCTTTTTCAGAACTCCCAGGGCAAGCGTTGTGTCAGCGCTCCCCTTTTAAACTGCTGAAGCCAACCCACTCTCCTCCCGGGAGGCCTGGCTGCCAGCAGTGCAGGAGGCCCCGTGACGGGCGCAGACCAGCCACCCTCCGGTGTGCGCCCTCGGCCAGTTGCCTCCCCGGCCCCGGGGCCCGTCACAGTTTTGCAGGTCAGGAGAGGGGGGACGGGCGGAGGGGCGGGCTGGCCGAGACTTTGGGGCCCTGCTCTGAGGGCTGGTATTGGAGGCTGCCCTCTTGCTCATTCAGGCCTTACTTTGTAAGGTTTGGAAGAGGAGGTGAGGGCTTACGGAGGGTCCGCCTAGTTCTTTCCTCACAGGGCATGGATACTGCGGTCACTTGCTGGTTTCAGCCCTCAGGCAACACCAGAGCCTTCAAGGGTTGGCTACCTTACGGTTTAGCTGGTCAGAGTGAAGGATGAGACTCTGCCCTGCGGGAAGCAGCCGGCCAACGGGGCTGAAAGGAGCAGGGGGAGGTCAGGAGGTAGACTGCTATGGGAAAGGTTGTGGAACCAGAATGTTTTATAGCCCATTACATTGGAAGGATTTGGCTTCTTTTACATTTGATGCTCAGGTTGTGGTTTACTGTGATTTTGTACCTGAGTGGTGTTCAGGGGTCATGGCTGGTGGGCACGTGCATGCGTGCGTGCGCGGGATGGCTGCAGACTCACCAGGGCTGTGCGTCTAATCGCAGGTCCGCACCACAGGGCACCCTGCCCCCCTTTACCATTTTGGAGGATGAGTAGAGAAATCTGTCCTCCATTCTAATCCTTCTGTCTTGTTTCTAATAACCGCTCCCAGGTGACCACAGCTGTGGTTTTCCCGCCAGCCGCTGGGGCTTTTCAGAGTCTGTTCCCTTTGGTCTGTGTGCACAGCAAGTGCGCCAGCGTTAGGGAAGAAGTACCCCTTCCATCCACAGCCCAACGGGGGGCCCCAGAAAGGTTGCTGACCTGGAAACAGGATAGCGAGCCCTCTTTGGAGAGAAGCATCTAGTGCCTGATGGGACAGTGCCGTCCCTCTCTTTGCAGAGACTTGAAATAAGCACCACTAGGGGGCACGGTTCTCTCTTTAAACCTTTGTCTTCTATTTCTGCCGAGATTTAGTAATGATAAAAGGTGGGTTTAAAATTTACGGAAACGGGAGGAAAAAATCGCTACGAGGAGTTATGTTTTTTTCTTTGCACCAACGATGTTCACATGGTTTTAGACCTTGTTCTTCTGAAGTGACTGATTTCATTTTGAGTACGACCTGGCAGGGCCATTTAAAGCTGTCTGGTTGGGGCACCTGGGTGGCTCAGATGGTTAAGCGTCTGCCTTCGGTTCAGGTCATGATCCCAGGGTCCTGGGATCGAGTCCCACATCGGGCTCCTGGCTCAGCAGGGAGCCTGCTTTTCCCTCTGCCTCTCTCCTTGCTCACGCTCTCTCGCTCACTCTCTGTATCTGTGTCTCAAATGAATAAAAAAAAAAAAATCTTTAAAGGCTGTCTGTTGGTGGGGGGGGGGGGGGGTTCTGCCAGGAATCTGACTTTGGACCTCAGAATCCTCACCAGTAAAATGAGAAGTCACATGACATACTGAGCAAGTTCTTTCCAGCTTCTACAACTAGAAGAACACGCTTTTATTCTGGATAGTCATTACCCTTACGGGAAGCATGTGCTGGTTTGCAGCCTGGCTCTGGCGCATCCGTGCCGACAGCCTGTGTGGTCTGGCAGCCCACAGGTGCTCTGCTCCGGAACCAGCTGCCTGGCTTTTTGACCTCACACCGAGGACCGGCCCCAATGGAAAAGGCCACACCTTTCCCGCTAAAGGTGTTTACAAGTCCAGTGGGCCAGCACGTGGATTCTGGCTGAGACTAAGGGGAGGTGAAAGCAGTAGGGCTCCGACCACAAGCTGCTTCCTCACCACCTGCTTGGGGTAAGACAGCACGGCGTCCCCTGGGGATCAGGCATTACTGCTATCACTATTAGAAGAAAATGAGAAGATGCACATTTAGTCTTTAATTCATTTTTTTAATAGTATAAACCTCATTTAGGTAGTAGTATTAAGCCACAACGATAATGCCACATTGAAACAGCATTTAATAAAATGCATAAAGCTAATTCATGCACTGCAATACTCTATATACAAACACAACAATGCAAATTCTTCTTCAAGACTGAAGACATTGATTAGATATAAAATTCAGTTTAAAAAGAACATGCTATTTTTTAAATGCCATCACATAAACAAAGCTGATTTCAAGCTACAGCTTTCAACAGGTTTTAAACCTGGAATTAAAATGTAACGGCATAAACAGTATTTTCTATATTGTTAAGGGCAGAAGTTACAGAAACGGTCCCAAAAAATCTAACACCCGAATTTTCCTTTAACAGATGTCTTTTAAAAGGGCTGGTAACGCAGCTACATTTTAACAGGTCCAAACTACAGGTAAAAACTATGGTTTGTACTATGAAAAATGTGCAGCTTTTCAGTTATAAAACTAGTTGAACACTGGTTTACAAGAGAATGGGGAGAACGGAGACTGTAGAAAAATATTCCAGCACTTGAGTTGTATGTGGCGGCAGCATCTGAGTCCATGGATGCTCTGGTCGTTAATGGTAATTGAATATATGTTCCTAAAGACAAGCCATTTGTAACTTAAAAGTCTACTATTTCCAAATGTTATCCAAGTATTAAGCTTATCACAGTATGTCAGCTGATAAATGTTGCCAAACTTTTCCCCCCAATATTTATAGCATTTTTTTTTTCTATGCTCTTACGTATAAATATTGAGACACCGGATTATTGGTTTCTGAACTGAAAGTCTAGCTGGGCCTTAAAAATATCTCAGGCATTCCCCACCCCTAAGATAGTTTAATTATTCTTAGATTGCTGTTAAAATACCCTCCCAAATGAAAATTTTTATTTTGAAGATTCATTTAGAGACTGTCAAGCTTCTTCTTGTATTTTAACTGGAAAGCCACCTTCAATAGTGTGATTGTCACAACAGGCAAGGACAGGGGCAAGGGTCAAATAAGCACTGTTGGATGAGGCCAGTGAAGTAGCAGAGTTGTTTTTTTTTTTTTTTTACATCCAATAGAGGGGAAGCTGAAGGCTAAATGACCCACCGTCTCACAAAAGGCACTGAGTACTACGGTCTCAATGAAGTGTTTTCAAACATTTCGGTAGCTTATTTAAAACAACAAAAAACCCCCCAAAACCCAAAAAACACCACCAACAAAAAACTAGAAAACCTGTGGATTATGTGAGTTTTTGCAGTTCTCCAGAGACTCCCTTCAGTGGGCCAGCTTGCAGCCCTCGGCCAGGCAGGCCCCACTTCCCAGGTCTGTAAGCAGCTCTGCTGGGCTGGGCTCTGGCTCCCGAGTGCCGTGTCTCAGTTTAAAGCCCAATTAAGGGGGAAAATTAATCAGAACAGACCTGGACAAGAAAAATTTGGCATCTGTAGCTTTTTAAGGGCACAAATAGCCTTATTAAAATACCATTTTTATCTAAAAATTTTAAAACAATTTATAGAAAGGATTTATGTCAGTGGATTTTATTCACATGCTACAGTTAAAGAAGTAATTTAAAATTTGTAACTTCTATGCCGTAAGTTATCTTATTCATGCTTATTTTAAAAGACTACTTGGTAGGTTTTTTTCAACTGGCATTAGAGATAGGAATCTGTTGAGTCACAGGGCAGTGCCCACCATTTGCTAAGTCCAGAGCAAGCGGAGACCTGGGAGGCAGGCCCCAGCACACGGACCGTTCCGAATCTCTGACCATGAGGCCTATCTCTGGACCACATGACAAGAGCAAGTATCTGGGAAGGCCGACAGCTCCAACCACCAAGTTCCTTCCAGTCAGGCTATAGACAGGCATTAGGCGCCCAGGTGAAAGACCCCCACCTAGTTTTCAACTTTCTAGCTTTCTGGCTGCTGTCTGACCCAGAGAATATACAATATACAGCAATGTCCTCCTATCAGGACCTTTTCTGTCTGGAACTTTTCCTTGGCATAGGGTGATTCTGCCTTCATGGCCTTTCCCAGCCAGGCTCACTCTAAGGAAAATGGAGTTAAAATATCAGCAAATCCATCCTGCTGAGGGACCTTGGAACACCCACATCAATTTACTTTAGCAACTCTATCATAGACTCTCTTTAAAACATAAGGGAACTTTGGATACATGGCTACATGTCTGTATACATAATATATACATCTATGTACACACACACTATATACACTGTACATATATAGAAGATATAAACACATGTACATTCAGTCAGTCATACAAGCCTATAAATCTGTACACGCACAATGCCGCTGAAGGGACCCCAGGGCTGGACATGCGCAAGTGTGCGCCGGCAGGAGGCATACGTGAGGATGTCCAGAACCCTGTGTACAAAAGACCCAAACCCAGCCTATCTCGATTAGGGCTTGGCTTAACAAATTTACATCAAAGTTAAGACATTTCAAAGAGCCGTACAATCTAGAGACTGGAAGTGGGACAAAGGAAGCATATGGGCATATCTGCCCGGCCCGCTCCACTATCCATCCCTCCATTCATTCATAGCCGGGATGAAAGTGAACGTCACAAGATGACTTTTCAGGGCCTAGACTTAGAGAAGAGTTGAAATGTCATCTACAGCCCCACTGCACATGAGGCCCTTTCCACTGGGAAGTGGGTGACAAGCTTCTGGACGCTGATCTGATCAGGTCCTGAAACTTGGCTCCATAGCCAAGGGCTACGTGTCAGGCAGAGGGCAGGCTGGGGGGCAAGACTGCTCTACTAGAAATTCCCCTGAAGGATGAGGATGTGGTTTTTGTCCAGAATAAAAGCACTAGATACAGCCATTCCGATTCTTAGCTCCCTGCCGTGGCTATCCCCAACACAAGCAAAAGCACTCAGTGAGTCTACTACGGCCACAAGCACGTCCCAGTGAGCGTGTGGCCACCGCACCAGGGAGCCCAAGAGAAGGCGCATCCGTCGCTCTCACCGTGGTTGGTGGCAACTGCCTCAGAACACAGTCCACATTTAATAGTGACACGCTAGACAGCAGTCCCTCTTGAGGGCGTTTACATAACATCTTACAACACGTGACTACACCTGAAATTAACTATAAAAACCCAAACAACAAAGAACCCCAACCACAGCCTCACGGCAGAAGTTAGATAATAAATAATGGTAACCTCCCAACAGACACACATACAAATCTCAGATTAGAAGGGTGGAATAACCTGGAAAGTATCATTTGCTTGTGTAATTTGGACTTTTTCTAAGTCTCTTCCTGTCCTGCTTTATCATTCTGTGTAATGACCTCCACGATTTCAACACCTAACTGTCTAGCATTATCGGAGATACCACTGGCATCAAGAAGCACTGACGCGTCCTGCCACCTCCTTTCGCCGGTGGACCTCTCCTCGCAAGGGAGGGAGAGCCAGGCCAGCAGAAGGGACATGTGGGCAGGCTGCGTGGTGAAGAATCTGCTCCTGGCTTATTTCACTCAGAGACCCAATGGGTAGAGGGCTGGCCTTCCTTGACTAAATCTAGACTTTCACAGACTAACAAGGGGTAAAAGCCTTGTGAAAGCTGAACCTCAGTATTTGCCTGGGATCCCCTTACGTTGTTGACTTTGGGCTTCTCTTCACCAATCTGACAAGACGGAACGGACCCGCTGTCAAAGTGTAAAATGATTTGGGGCAGCAAGAAATCAGCTTGTGTGAACAGGATCTTTAGGGAGAAGTCTACTTCAAAATAAGGCCAAGAGGATCTGGGAAACTAATGAGTGTTCAAGGCCCAAAATGGTCCACTGCAATCAGCCAGCATCAGTGAAGGGACTCAAGGGCCAGCACCAGGTCAGAATCAACAGCCCTCCAAGCCAAGCCGGTTCCTCTCCAGGGCTGTCCTGCCAGGGTGCGGCACTCACTCACCCAGATGTTCAGTTTTTCTGCCGGTTATCACCTTTACCCCAAAACCCTTCAGCAGTGGCGTCGTTGGGACCTCAGTCGAGGTCTTGGCTAAACCGTCCCAGTATCTGAAGGCAACCTGAGTCTACAAGCCGAACGGACACAAGACTCCCAGGGCCAGCCCCAGGAAGAAGGGGTGGGCCTCCTCCCCAACACCGAGAATCAGATCTGGGAGATGTGACATAGCATGTAATCCCAGAGAACAGCTATGTGATCAACAGACAGGCTTACGTTAAAAAATCAAAAGAACAGAAAAGAGGCAACTTGCTGTGTAAAATGCACAAACACGGTTGAAGATACCCTCTGCTGAAATCCTTCCCGAGCAGAAATGAACAGACCTGCCCTAACTTCACTGTCTTGGCTAGTTTTTTTTTTCTTAATTTTGAAATTTAAATCACTTCAAAGTTAGAAAACCAAAAATTGAAGCAGGCAAAATTAAATTCTTTCCATCATTTTATAATGGGCACCCCTATTGTCTCCAAAATTTGCTTCCAAGACATGAACTATAAATAATTAAATCCAAACAGGAATTCAGAAGTTGGAGATACTGTCCCCACTTAATTCCCACTAACGACTTTCACAAAGTGCTGCTAATGCTTCAAGAGCATTCTGTTGTGTCCTAAGGCAGCGGCCGGCAGCTGGTACCTACACAGCACCTGAGACCCCACCTCGATGAGGGCCTGAGCCAGGCCGGGGAGTGCCTTTGAGGCCGGGGAAGCGCACTGGGATCTTTCTGGATACCATCTGATCAAAAGATCTGGGAGACACAGATTTAACTTCAGCTATTTTCTTAATCTGGGCTATACAGAAAGGAAATGAAGAGTACCTGACTGGGTCTTGGACACGGCACTTTTCCCAAGCAGGAAATGCCCGCTGCTTGCATCCATGAGATTTTATGGGTGCTCTTCTCTAGATAGAACTTCCTTATAACTGCATTCTGTTCTTGTAAACGATGGTCGCTATAACTTAAGAGAAAGAAGATAACTTTGGGAGTTAAGGGTTTTTTGCTTGTTGTTTTTTGTTTTTTTTTAAGAGCAGGTAGCTTGCTTCTGCATCCATCACCTAAAATGCTCCAGGGTTCTTTGCTGGCACACACCTGGGGGAATCAAAGTGCATGGTGTACCAGTACCATTCAAAAAATTGCCAACAGAAATGCTGAGTCTGGAGACACTTTGGAAAACCCTGATATTTAAGGTCAACAGAGAAACCTTCCATTCAGCCGCACCACCACCACCACCCTGGCCAGGCAGCAAAATCCTGCACCTCCCCCCACCCTCTGGCCCCCCATCCCCTTCACAGTTCTGCGTGAACTGCAGGAATACAGCTCTTCTTGAGGGGACGTTTGGAATGGAAACCCCGTGAGAAGGGAACCGTTGTACTCCTCCATCTGAACAACAAGCAACCGCCCCAGACTGCATTCAGGAATTACTGTCGGGTTCAAAATGCCCACCTTGCACTTTTTGGTCAGAAGGCTCTGTCTGCCGTGAGTGGTGGAGGTGATGTGGGGATGTTTTCAGTTGCTGCAGGAATTGGCAGTTAATGTCTGACTGGTTGTAATCCAATTCTGAGAACCAGTCATCAGAAGAGAGCCCCAGGTTTGGAGGAGCCTGCAGATGCCAGTCACAGACCAGAACCAGAGGTCAGGGAAGCTGACAAGCATCATCAACTCACAGCGGAGGAAGCTTCCTGTTTGGGTCACCACCGACTGTGCCTCCACACTCCCACTTACTGCATGATACAGATGAGCCACATTTTCATTCGTTCATAGGAATTTAGTTCAACACCACCAATGTGTGCATACAATTAGGAATGATGCCATCTTTTCTTAAACATAAATGATTGTCTCCTGTACCCTAGTGCGTTTTCACAGAAATTACTAGCATTTCGGCAAAAGACATATACAGTTTTCCGTTTGTCCTGCCCAAGGGCAAGATGTTGCTAACATTACGCATTGATAAGAAGTGCTTAGAAAGTGCTAATATTATTACCCTGGTAATTAGTAGCTATTAATTCCAAGGACATTTTTAATATATATACACACATACTGTTCTCTTAGGTTCTTTTTGTTTTGTTTAATACTAGTCTCTGACATTATAAAACTCTGTTTTTTGCCCTTTGAGGATTTCTAAATACAAACTGGGTTAAAAGATTGTTCCAAAATCTGCTTCATCAAAAGGCATTAAAACATTTCTTATGGCAGGAAAGGATCCTACTAGTCTTTTAGTTGCTATTGTCTGGGATTAACAGATAAGAAGAAACCAGGTAGGAAATGGCTAACATATTGGAAATATTTGCACATACCAAAATACCACTACTTTATTTTCTCTGTATCCGAGTGGTCCTGGGAGGATCCTTTTGCTTCTCTGCAGGTGTGTGGTGCGCACTATAGGCTGGCTCCGGTGATCTGGCCGTTGTACTCTGCTGTCTCCATCTTGAGGATGTAGGGGATTATGCTGTCTATCGACACATTGCCAATGAGACCAGTGAAAAAAAGTTCTTCTGTTATGTTGGAGCTCATCAGCCTGAGTGCCGGCAGGCGAACGAGAATCCGGGCCAATCTGCGAAAGGGAGGGTCCTTAGAGAAAGGGGATTCACTGCCCTTCAGACTTCTCCCTAGACAGGCTCCTGGGACCCTGTCTGCACTGCTTGGAATTAAACCAAACAGACCTATGATCTACCCCCTGTATTTCAAATTTCAACAATTCCTCTTGTAGGAATTTATCATGAGGAAAAAAAAAAGAAATCAAAACTAAGTACAAAGACGTCTGTACAAATGTTTCTTTCATTTTTAATAATTGTCCGCATCCCCACCAAAAAAGAAAAATTTGGAAATCCATAAAGGATAGGTTAAAAAGTATGGTGTGTCTCCATATAAAAGATCACTATATACCCATTAAAAAGTATAAAAAAGATCTATTTGTCACTGGTAAGGAAAGCAGTCCATGACGTATAGCTGAATAAAAGCAGACTGGGAAGCAGCAAGTACAGGGCAGTCTTGCTGGTGTAGATTTTTTTGTGTGACATGCATACAAAAGTATTCGGAAGGATGTTCACCAAAATGTGAATAGGCTGGCCTCTGGGTTTGGGGATTTGGAGTGCTTTTACTTACTAAACTTCTTCTGTATTCCTGTACTCCCCTAATTCCCAGTGTTCGTACAGCATTATAATTAAAAATAAAGCAAAAGATTGTCTTCAGTTTGAAAACACCCTGGGTGGGAGGGCACACCGTGACCCTGTCGTGGTGGGCCACTGCTGCTGTATCTGAAGCATGTGACTGGCGTTCCCTGCCACTGCACAGAAGCTCACTGCGGGGCCAGCCCGGGCTGGAAACAACCTACATTCTCATCAGTGGGGAAGTGTTAAAGAAATTACAGCATCTCCTTAGCCACAAAAGATGAAGTATGCTCACTTGAACATTAAATGAAAAAAGGGTTACAGAACCTTACTTTGTATTTTATGATTCCAATTACACAAATATAAAAAATTTCTGGAAGGAAATGCATAAAACATTAACAGGTATCTACGAAAGGTGGTATTTATATGGATGTTTTCATTTTACTTTCCAGAATGTTCTCACTTTTTTCTATAGTAAACATTGTTATTTTTTAAAAGAGAATATATATATTATGCAAGCAGCATTCCAGCACCATCCTCCATTCATCTAGCCACCATGAGTCTTACAGGACACACAAAGGTATAAGGGGACACCAGCACAGACCATGAGGGGCTGACAGGCTTAAGGGTCTTGGGGAGTCAGCAAAGATAAATCAGGGAGGACTTCCTGGGGGAGGTGGGGTGGCATGAGGGATCAGCTGGGCTTTAGAGGCTGGCTGAGGTTTCTCTCAGCAGAGATGTAAACAGTGGGGAAGAATGGGAGGGTATTTCAGGAGGAGCAAACAGTACAAGAAAAGGCATAAAGAGAAAAAAAATAATGCAGAAAAAGAGGTCAACGATCCTAGGGCCTTGTTTTGAGAACTGTCTTTGAGTGAGTTTCTGAGTCCCATGAAAAAGCCTCCCTTCCCTCATTTTTGGTCCCAAATCACTTGGCTGGCCATCTCCTCTATCCCTGGGTCCCTGACTAGATTTTTTCAGAAACACCTACTTTCCAAGGCCAGAGAGTTGCTGTTGTCAAGATGACCCTAGTGTGCTGTGGCTGCGCCAGCAGCCCCCAGAGAGGCATTTCCAGGCTCTTCTGGCCATGGGCACTGTGTGGGAATAGGCCTGTTGCCCCATTCCCTGTGTACTGAAGCTGGACTTACTACTCAAGAGTCATGGTGAGGTTTTCAGCGATTCCAGGAGAAAATCAATCCTGCTTTGGCAAAAGGTGTGTCTGGTCATGGAGTTGTGTCTAAAGCAGAGGAGGTTCTCTGCCAGCAGGGCCAGCCCCCCACCCCCACCCCCCCAGTCACATCACATAACAGTCTTCCTGGGACCTGGGGCATTTTCATTCCACGGGGCACCTATGGACTGAGGTCTGTGAAGGCGACACAAATTGAGGAAGGTGGGGCCATGTATCTTCCTGGTCAGTTGTGATCAAGTGTTTACTCTGAGGGGACAGGGCAGGGAAGGAAGTATTAGTTTGCCTAATGTGACCTCAGTAATTCATGTAGCTTCTAGTGGGCTGGAAGTGGTCATGATCAAAGAGCTCCTCCACTCCTTGGCTGGAAACCCCGCCAGGCCTTCTGCCTTAATTGAGAACAACTTTCCTGTTCAGATTTGCATGAAAAAGGTGTGTGTGTGTGTACACACACACATATTTGCTGCCCAACCATTAAAATTAACTTTTTTGCCCAAATAAAGGAACTTAAAAAAATCAGTTTATCTAAGGGCAAAATTACTATTTTCTATAACACACTCACTCCTTTGTAGAGGTCAGGTCTGGCTTTTGTCAATGAAAACTTTTCTATGAAGTGTGCTGGCTCTACCTCTTCAGCGGATGTGGGCCAGAGGGGCAGGGCTGCTCTTCTGGGCAAGGGGACTCCCCATGAGAACTGCCACTTTGTGCACAATGTTAGCCCCAGAGGAAACCACACAGCAATGATTGCAACCCCTCAGCATGTTACAGAAGAGCAACCCGAGGTCTTGCCCACAGTTTATACTCAGCAACCCTGGAATGGCCCAGGATTCCTGACCCTCCCACCTAGCACTTTCCACAGTTACCACCCATGAAATGCAAGAATTAAAATGTGATCAAAAGGAGGCTCTACCAGGCTGCCAGGGGCGGGAAGTTTATATTTGTGTCTACAGATGCAACTGCACTCCTTCCTGCCCCACAGCAAGAGCGTGTATCTGTGTGCCTCACCGGTAGGTGTCTTCTGAGTAGGTTTTCTGAACATAGTCCTGCAATTCCATCTGTGCCTTTTCTTGGAATTTTTCAATCTGGCTTGTGCTGGTCAAACCTGGATGATCTGAAAAGAGAAAAGTGCCCCCAAATTGCCCTGTGTATTTGGAAAGCCTCACTTGGCAGACTCCTTAGTACTTATTTTTAGTTAAACCTCTGACAAATTTCTCAAGTACAATATAGATTGAACCCTGAAGGTGGGTCTGGTTTGGATATTACTGCTAAAACACTGGCTTTTGCTCTGTACTCTGCCAAGGCCTGAAGGTTCCCAGGAGGGGGCTGGGCTCCTCAGTGGTCACACCAGCCTCAGCAGCCCCACCTGGCTTGGTTCTGGACATCTGGCTTCCTACCACTCTAGAAAACAGATATTTTAGAACTATCACCCAAGATTAGAAATTACCATTTACCTCCTACGTATTTAATCACATAATTTCTCCCATTTATATTAGCTATTTTTTCATTCACGAGTGGATGGCTGGGGAGGAAGGGAGGGTTAAGCTGTGCCCAAATCCCACTATTAAGGGCAGGACAACAGTCAGCCTGAGTGACCTCTGGAGGTTCAGAGAGAACAGCTGAGAGGGGGGCAGCGAGGCCAGCCGGACAGTTCTGCTGCCTCTTTTTCAGGTGCTGCCCTACAGGGACAGCTGAACTTGGGTACTTTCAGTCTGTACTGGAGAACATATGCTAACACAACCTGAAAACTGGCAAAAAGGAAAGCAAAAGAAATAAAAACAAAAGGACATTGAGGAGGTGCCTGGGTGGCTCAGACGGTTGGGCGTCTGCTTTCGGCTCAGGTCATGATCTCCAGGTCGTGGGATTGAGCCCCACGTTGGGCTCCCTGCTTGGTGGGGAGCCTGCTTCTCCCTCTCCTGCCTCTCCCCCCTGCTCATGCTCTGTCTCAAATGAATTAAAAAAAAAAAAAAGACACTGGATGGTAGTATGCCAAAGTCTTGTTTGGCCAATGGTTTAAATTAGGATACAGAATAAATCTATTCAACATACGAAGTCACCAGGAACCACGGCATATCTTTGGGACTGTAAAGGCAACAATTTAAAAGAATGTGTTTATGTTAGCTAGCAAAGCACACCTAATAGGAGACTATTCGGTCACAATCTGGCTGATGACTTGACAACAAGTTCATGTTCAGAAGTATCAGTAGACACAGATAGAAAACTGTTGTGAGTCCCCACCACATATCTTACCGGGGCTAAAGAGAACTATAGCTTTAAGGTATGCATACTCATAGCCGTCTATATCCAGCTTTGCCATACTATTACAGAACTCCTGAAGCTTCCAGATGTGCTCCATGACTTGCTTTATCCGGTCTCCAGAAAGTTTATCTAGAAAAGAACATCACAGATCCCCTGAGAAAGGCTGGTAAGAACAATGACATGAGCTTCTTTGAGGAGCCAGAGATTGAAAGAGAAAATAATTTCACTTTTTAATGGAAAACCAGTTACCTTAAGATGGTTAGGAGCCTCATTTTCCAGGTGAAGGTGAAGTGACAATAGGTATACCCAAATGCCACTCTGCCGTATATTCTCAGTAACAAACCCCTAGACCACTGATTCTCCCTGGCCCTACTTTGGGGTGGGGCCTATAGATGCAAATTGAATAGTTCCTTTTATTCTGTGCTTAAGACCCATAAGTCAACTCTTTTTTTTAGATTTTATTTGTTTGACACAGAGAGAGAGAGAGACAGTGAGAGAGGGAACACAAGTAGGGGGAGCGGGAGAGGGAGAGCAGGCTTCCCGCTGAGCGGAGAGCCTGATGTGGGACTCAATCCCAGGAGCCTGGGATCATGACCTGAGCCGAAGGCAGACGCTTAACGACTGAGCCACCCAGACGCCCCTGTTAAGTCAATTCTTATCAGTGGTCAGGCGCTCTAAAGTCTCTGCAGGCATTTAATAAAGGTTTATGGACCTGACCATTAAATGCTGACATTTTTTAGTTGTGAAAACCATGTTTATATGTTACCTATTTTAATCTTCCTGATAATATATGCTGAAGGTATTAATATTATCACATGCAATTAAAAATAAAGGGTAATTAAGGGGTGCCTGGGTGGTTCAGTTGGTTAAGTGTCTGACTCTTGATTTTGGCTCAGGTCATGATCTCAGGGGTGTGAGATCAAGCCCTGTGCTGGGCTCCTTGCTGGGTGTGGAGCCTGCTTAGGATTCTCTCTCTGCCCCTCCTCCCCCACTCCCTCTCTCTCAAAATAAATGAATGAATGAATGAATGAATGAATGATAGCTAATCCTCACTTGTGAACAAATCTAACTTAAATGCAACCAAATGTTATATTACTATTCCAAAGGAATAACCAGATAAAGTTGTAACTAGGTCACTCGATTCCTAGATAATCAAACATCTCGAAAGCCTAATTAAAAGTGCAGCTCAACTGCAATTTGGCATCCAGTATTAGTCCTGAATGCTGGGCATGCTCCCTTGAGACCGTGTCTTTGGTGCACTCTGGGCTCAGAGCATGTGGAGAGACCGCACTGGCTATCTCCTGGTCCGGATCTTTCTAGAAGAGAGTAACATGTTCATTCACGAGAGAAGTGGGTGAGGCAACTAAGTCCTGTGTGGCCAGATTTGTGCCCAACTCTTCTACTTGCTCTTTCACTTGGGGCAAATCAAGGCCGACTGCAATCACAGTCCCTCTAAGGCTGTGAGAACTTGTTACATGGGAAAGCGCAACCCGTTGTGAGAGAATAGAAAGTATGTATGCTGGTCTCTGCCCCCCTGGTTCCTGGCACAGAGGTCTTGAAGCCCTTGTAATTTCTAAGTGGTAAACATTAGCAGCATCTCTTGGTCTAATACTTGTTTTTGACCCTATCCCTGACAAAGAGCTCCTAAAACCCTTGTAAATTCTTACATGTTAAGACCACTAGGAGCATCTTTTGTTCCACTGAGGTGACTCTGGGTGGGACCCCTAATGGCCCCTGGAAAGACTAAAGCACGCTCAGAAGCTTGGAATTTCCAGTCCCATCCCTCATCCTACAGAGAGGGGAGAGGGGCTAGAAATGGACTTAATAACTGATCATGCCTACATAGGAAGTATCCATAAAATCCCAATATGGGGTTGAGAGAGTTTCCAGGTTGGTGAACACATGCACACCGGAAGGGCAAAGCGCACCCCAAGTCCACAGGGACAGAAGATCCTGTGCTTGAGACTCTCCTAGACCTCACGCCATACATCTCTTCATCTGGCTGTTCATCTGTATCCTTTATCCTTGAGTTCTGTGAGCTATGCTAGTGAATTATCCAACCCGAGGGTTGCTACAACCTCCAGTCTATATAGCAGGTTGGTCAGAAGCACAAGTGATAGCCTGGACATGTGTGTGTGTGGGGGGGGGGGCGGGGGGAGGGTCTCATGGGACTGAGCCCTTAACCTGTGGGATCTGACACTATGTCTGACAGTGTCAGAATGGAGTTAAATTGTTGTATACCCAGGTGGTGTCTCAGAGAATTGCCTGTTGTGGGGAAAACACCCCCCACACTGGTGACCACACATGTCAGAAGTGTTCTATGTGAGTAGTAAAGGAGACACGCAGGGTAGAGAAACACAGTAAAGAAGAACTAGGTTTTTTTCTTTCACGCACACAAGTGAAAAACTACAGTTTCTTCCATTTATACCTGTCAATCAAGATGAAAGTGTAAGCTGTGATTATTCTGAAAACATCACTAAATACCTATGTATCAGGAAGCTGGCAACTTTTTCAATTATCTTTTTTTTTCCTTTCATATTCCTTGTATGAAAAGAAGACAGGTGGAAATTTAAATGTTCTCACTGGTAAAGGCCCCAGGACTTAAACGTTAAGCTACCCTCAGCCTGTGGAAGCTGTGGGACACTGTGGCCGGCCAGTTTGCAAGGGGCCGGCCTGAACCAAGACCCACTCCCCCACAGCCCCAGCCCTACCTTCCTGGATGCTGTTCTGCAGGTGGTTGACAATGGCTGCCAGGATAGTGGAGAGACTCATGACCTGGGCACACTGGGCCAGGCCGAGGGTGAAGAGCTCGTTCCAGCAGGCCCGCACCAGGCTGGTGTTGCAGTCCTGCCTGGGGACACAAGGTCAAGGTGGGTGTGGGTACATGCTGGTACTCTCCAGGTCCCAGCTTGCCCCAAACAAGTAGATCCAACAAGCATTTCTTGAAAGTCTATGGTATGTCCAGGATCATTCTCCAAAAATACCACTGTCTGTGAATCTCTTAACTAAAGTCCCTCTGAGGATAAACTATTTTCTTAACAAAGACACTTTAGACTTCAGTAATGAGAAATCGAGATGGGTATGACTCAAGTGTCATCTCCTACAGCCCCCTAAACCCACAGTAGCCCTGGTGTGGCTGTTAGAGATGCTGCAGCGATCCAAAGACTAGGAGCTGAGTGTGGTCTCTGACACAGCCCGCACCTATGCTCAAGGACAGAGGGCCTGTGAGCCCTGCAGGGGAGGGGCCGGCACTGGGGTGCAGAGAAAGGGGCCAGCCACGCCAGCTTTCAGCCCTGTCTTGGAGGATTTATACTCAGGATGGCCTGGTTGGCTCACTGTGAACGGTATGACCTTATCTGAGAAGCCCCTAGATGCAGCCTCACTCTACTTGTCTCAAGATTTCAGACAACTCCTGCCTTCTGTTGCACTCCATCCCTGGCTCTTAGCACCAAGTCCTCAGCATGTGGAGAAGGCCTGAGAAAAGTTGAGGAACATCGAAGCACTGGCAGCCTTGGTCCTCTGCTCCCAGTCCACAGAGTGTATTTAATAAGACAATCAGGGTCACTGGAGCAAGATCCTAGGTGCAAACTAGAAGGGCCCTCAGATACCTTCCAGGCCATTCCTAACAAGGAGAAGGCTCTTGCCGAAGGATACATATACAGGAAAAGGCCACTTACCCAAGTGCCTGAAAGGCTGGGATTGACCTGGCCCAGTGCATGGAGAGGAAAAGCAGGCGGGATGCTGACTCGCAGATGTAGTGCACGTTGAGGTACTCTGGCATTGGGCTGGGCATTGTGAGCTGGAGAAGAGGAGGCACACAGCACAGGAGGTGACAGAGAGACAGGGCATGGCTTTGTCTGTCAACATGAACTGCTGTCACGTCTCAACAACTATGAGAGCCTGAATTGTGATGATCTCTGATGCTGAAGTTCCTGTGCAGACCCATCCTTACGAAGCCCGTGTCCTTTGCAGTGGGGGGCTGGCACCAACGCCCCGTAATCTCTTGCCCAGTGAACTAGGCTCTGATGGCAGTTGGAATGTGGTCAATGATGGTGACCTCCCAGGCCACTCACACAATGCACATACTCTTCAACTCTTGCCTCAGCTAAATTGGTATTTCTTCTAAGGCAATTCCATTTTGAGCCATAGGTTAAAATCTAAATTAAATCGGGTAATAGGGATCAACTTCATGGCTAGTAGGCATTTGGTAGGTGGCCTCAGGGTAGCAGTGAGTGAGAGCTGAGCAGAAGCCTATGTGGTGGGAGGATGAGATCTCACCACCAGAACGTTCAGGACTGGGCTCCAGAGCTCCACTGTCCAGAAGGAGAATTAATGCCTTTGATGCTGGAATCCCACTGGTGACCTATATTCTTGGCATTGGTGGGCAACTATGAGCAGGGACTCAGTCTTCCTAAGTGATTGGTCAGGACTCTCTAGTAAAGAACACTGGGGGAACAGGAAGACATAGTCTGTAGCCCTAGAAACTGAGAGGGCTTTGGGGAACCTGGCATTGTCTTTCAGAAGTGAGGCCAGTGAAGGAGCATGTGGGGAAGACAGCCTTCTTCAAGGAGGTAGGAGGTCTGTTTTCTGTGGCTCGAGACAGCAAGCAGTCAGGACCAGTAGTTAGGAATGAGGGCTGGCTGCGTGCATGCTGGAGCAAACACAGGTGCTTGCCTGAGCCTATGCTGGAGCCAGGCCATCCCAGAAAGCAGAAGAGGCAGAGTAGTCCACTAAAAGCCCTCGATGGGCAGCACCATGTCAGCCCAACCTGGCAAGGATAGGCCACACTTGCTTCAGGGTGAGTTACCTTCAGAGGCAAAATACTGTGAGCAAAACATGAGTGACAATTCTTTCTAATGAGAATACTGTTCTGGAACACAAGGTCTGGATCCAAACAAAAGCCAACAATACGAAAATGAACTCACTGCAAGATTTTAGCTTCAAACTGCAGGCTGGGGAGGCTGGGGCATGTGATTAGGCTGAATGCACTCACCTTAAATGTGACATGAGTGTCTGAAAGGAGGGGCCCTTCGACCTCGATGATGGGTGTGGACTGGTCTCTGCTGATGACATGGATGCCCCCTCCACCACTGGCATCTATCCCATCTGCTAGGCTTGGAGGTGAGGAGCTGTCTGTGGTATTAAGTGCTTTAGCTAAGGTATCAAATGCCCTGTAAGCAAAAATGAAGCAGGCAGTGTTGTGAATCCCTAGCTTTTAGGAGGAACAGAACTCTAGCTGAGACCTAATCTAGAAAAACAAGGCGATAGGGAAAAGATCATTCAAGTCTACCTGCTGGGGGAAGGAATAATGAGAGCTTCTGTGTATGGTCTATACATCATCATGGGCACTAAGCAATACAGTATTTATTTTCACACATTATTTCTATTTTTCACAACTACTCTCCAAGGTAAAACCCTCTCTGTTTTACAGATATGAAAGCTGAGGCTTAGGGATGTTAAATAACTTTTCTAATACCAACCACCCGGTGAGTGGTGGAACCAGAACTCTACCCAACTCAAATCCCATTCTCTTTCCATTGGCTCTAGATCTTAATTTTGCTATCAGGCTGCAAGAGAGTATGAGGACCAGGGGTGCTTGTGTGGCCTGGCAAGATGGGCAGGAGTGGCCAGTCCCACAGGGAAGGGGCAAACACGAGAGCCAGGCCACAGGGAAGAAATGCTGCCTGCAGTCAGTTACGGGTGTCTGGGATCAGCTAATGCCATCTGTCAGTAACACCCTGATGGACTGAAGTTCTAGACTACTTGGAAAAAAATATACATGAGAAAAATTGGCTAAAACAGAAGTGGGAAAGGGGACAAACTACTAATATTTAGTCAAAATAAACAAAGACTGATACAAGTAACACCTGTCTACTGAAGGGTTTTCCCTGCTTCCACTGAATCACTCCATTTCCTTTTTCATTGTTTGGAATGAAAAGCAGTTTTGATTGTTTTATATCACGTAATATAAATGGGTCCATGTTCCCATAGTCAAAATGTGAAAGACAGATGTGCAGGAACACTGTGACGATTTTACAATCCCTGAATAAATACAGGGTGGGTGTCAAGTGCTGCCACCCGCCCTCCCGCAGCGACAACCGAGTGTGCACATCATGGGGGAGCCTCCACACTCACGGCATCATACCGAGTAATCTCACTCGCGGACTGGTCCTCCGGCTGCATTTCCGAAGTGTCACCGTTGTTCAGGGATTCACTTAAGTTGGCAAGAGAGGTTACTACATTTGCCAGTGTACCCAGAGCTCCCTGGCTTGTTTCAGCCTATTAAACACAAAATAAGAACATTAAAGATGAACACAAACACACACAAAAACGGCTCTCAGGCCAATGAAGGTATAATGTTAGTTTAAAAACAGCTTCTAGGGTGTCTGGGTGGCTCAGTTGGTTGAGCGACTGCCTTTGGCTCAGGTCATGATCCTGGAGTCCTGGGATCGAGCCCCACATCGGGGAGCCCGCTTCTCCGACTTTCCTCCCTCTCATGCTCTCTCTCTACCATTCTTTCTCTCTCTCAATAAATAAAAATCTTAAAAAACAAAAAACAAACAAACAAAAAAACCAGCTTCTATGGGGGGCGCCTGGGTGGCTCAGTCGTTAAGTGTCTGCCTTCGGCTCAGGTCATGATCCCAGGGTCCTGGGATCGAGCCCTGCATTGGGCTTTCTGCTCTGCGGGAAGCCTGCTTCTCCCTCTCCCACTCCCCCTGCTTGTGTTCCCTCTCTCGTTGTGTCTCTGTCAAATAAATAAATAAATAAATCTTAGAAAAAATAAATAAATAAAAACAGCTTCTATGGGGTATGATCTCAACAGGGCAGCAGCGGGGAGATCTTTTTGGTGATGGAAGAGTTCTATGTCTTCATTGTGGTGGTAGTTACACAAATATATGTAATATATTTGTAATATATATGTATATATGTAATATATACATATAAAATATATGTAATAAGGTAATGGAACAAGAGACAAACTGGACATCAGCAAAATTTAAACTTTTGTGCTTCAGAAGATACTAAGAAAGTTAAATGGGGCACCTGGCTGGCTCAGTGAGTGGAACGTGTGACTCTTGATCTCAGGGTTGTGAGTTTGAGCCCCATGTTGGGTGGAGAGATGGCTTAAAAATAAAATCTTAAAAAAAAAAAAGCCATTAAGAAAGTAAAAAGACAACCCCCCCTTTCCACACACAAAAGGTAACCCACAGAATGGGAGGAGGTACTTGCAAATCATACATCTTAATAATGGTTTAGTAGCCAGAATATCTAAAGAACTCTTACAGCTCAATAATAAGACAAATGAGTTAAAAAAAAATGGGCCAAGGATTTATTTATTTATTTTTAAAGATTTATTTATTTATTTGAGAGAGTGAGAATGAGAGAGAGAGAGTACATGAGAGGGGGGAGGGTTAGGGGGAGAAGCAGGCTCCCCGCTGAGCAGGGAGTCCGATGCGGGCCTCGATCCCGGGACTCCAGGATCATGACCTGAGCCGAAGGCAGTCGCTTAACCAACTGAGCCACCCAGGCGCCCCTGGGCCAAGGATTTAAACAGACTTTTCTTCAAAGAGGATATACAAGTGGTCAATAAGTTCATGAAAGGATGTTCAACATCAAAGGAAATGCAAATCAAAACCACAATGAGATACCACCTCACACCCAACAGGATGGTTATAATCAAAAAGATAGTAACAGGTGTTAGTAGGATGTGGAGAAAGTGGACCCTCTCACACACTGCTGGTGGGAATGTGAAATAGTGTAGCTACTGTGGAAAACAGTCTGGCAGTTCCTCAAAAAGTTTAAACACAGAGTTACCATATGACCAGCCATTCCACCCTAGGTACATACATAAGAGAAATCGAAATATATGTCCACAAAAAAACTTGTACCCAAATGTTTGTAGCAACACTATTATAATAGACAAAAAGTAGAAACAACCCAAATGTTCGTCAGCTGATGAATGGATAAATAAAATGTGGTTCAGCCACTCAATGGCTTAGTATCTGGCAAAAAAAAGGAATGAAGTGCTGATACATGCCACAACATGGATGAACCTCGAAAACAGTATGTCAAGAGAAAGAAGCCAGTCACAAAAAGCCATATATTGAAAGATTCCCTTTATATGAAATGTCCAGAATTGACAAAACCATAGTCAGGAAGTAGAGTAGCAATTGGTGGGAGCAGGGGGAGAGGGAAGTGATGGCTTAATGGGTGGGAGCAGGGGGACAGGGAAGTGATGGCTTAATGGGTGCAGGGCTTCTTTTGGGGGTGGTGAAAATGTTCTGGAATCAGGTAGTGGTGATGGTCGTATAGCCTGTGAATGTACTAAAACCACTGCATTGTACACTACAAGTGTGAGTTTTCTGGTACATGAATTATATCTCCACTAAAAAAAAAAAAAAAAAAAAAAGAGGAAAGCCAAAGACATATGCAAACAAATAAACCAAGACAGGTAGACAGAAATGTCTGTTGTGTCTGGGTCACAAAAGTGAAAAACTAGAACAGTGGAAAAGATCCTAAGCAGAGCACTGCTTCATACATCACAGAACAACCACATAACAGAGTATTGTGCAGCTGCTGAAAGATGCGGGCTGTCACGTCAGGGAGAAAGAGAAAGACCAGTTGGCCCGCACCGCTCAGGTGTTGGCCGTGGGCGCCTGGGATCTCTGTGAGAGCTGTTATTTAGTCAAAGTACACTATTTTGAATTTTAATAAAAGTAGAAGGTTTAAAAAACAGGCTCTGGGCGCCTGGGTGGCTCAGTCGTTAAGCGTCTGCCTTTGGCTCAGGTCATGGTCCCAGGTTCCTGGGATCGAGCCCCGCGTGGGGCTTCCCTGCTCGGCGGGAAGCCTGCTTCTCCCTCTCCCTCTGCCTGCTACTCTATCTACTTGTTATGTCTTCTCTCTGTTCCAAATAAATACATCTTTTAAAAAAACAAAAAAGAGCTACCTTTAGGAGCTTTGTCTATATCCTATTATTCATGACACATGCCTGGGGTGGGTATGGTCACTTCCACAGCACAGAGGAAGGAGCGGGGTGGAAGCGCATGTCTGAGTCTGCAGCTCTTGCTCGTCACTACTACTTAAATACCACGCAGTGCCCGTGTCCGTTCTCTTCCGTCCTGTGACCACGACTAACTCCTCACTTCCTGAGTGCTCACTGTATGCTGCAGGCTTTATACAAGTTAACTCACTCAAGTTCGCCAGCACCCCGTGTGGCGGTCCTGAGGGAAGCAGGGATGTAGGAAAGAGGGCGCATGGCTACCAAGAGTGGCGCTGGGCTCTGGACCCAGGGCCAACCAACTCTGGAGTCTCTTGGTTCTCAGTCTCTGTGTGGACGGCACAACACAAGAGCTGCTGGGAAATCCTTTGGTAACCAGATCTTAAGGTTATCTGGGCCTTCCCTTCAGGCTTCTGGTTTCTCTCCACCCTGCCATGCATCCATCACTGTCCTGTCTACTTGACGGCAGCAAGCCAGGTGTGATGTCACACATAGCACCAGGGCCCAAAGACAGGAAGCTCGAGGCCCAGCCTCAGGACCACAGGACGGAGGGCCGCTTTTGGTGCCAGCCAAGAGCTCTCACTGATGCCTTTCTTTCTCGAGAGGATGTTCCTCATGTACTGGGTGGTCACAGCGATGTGCACGTGGACTGACGAGAAGGAAGCCTGCGGGTAGCGCCGCTTTGGCTCTCAGGGCAGTAGTTCCACCAGGACCGTTCCCAAGTCCCTCCTTTTAGAGAAGGAAAACTGGAACTCAGCCATGGCTTGCTGCTACTTCATCATTACTGGGTCACATCAGGAACGAGATGAGAAATATAATCAATTTTCTTGCCTGGATAAAACCCTTCCCTTAGGTATCTTCATGGGGGTTAGCCAGCTTTCTCTCTCTCCTGATTGACAAACACCTCCACCTCTGTTCACAACATGTTAAATTCCCTATGGTTGATTTGCTCTTAGTAGTTCTGCAATTGTGAGAATCCTGCCTGAACTTCCTCCTGCAGATCATCTAATTAAAAAGAGTGGGGTGGGGGTGGATAATGTAACACTGTGTGTCAACCATGCTTCAATTAAAAAAAAAAAAAAAAGAACTAAGGGCTTTTGCAAAAGGCCATCTGAGGATAAGCAGCCATTTCCCCAGCACACCAGTAGTTTGCTAATGTGTGTACTGCGGTGGGGTGGGGGTGGTTACTGAGATGAGAGCCACTGAATTTTCACCAAACTGAACTCTAGACCCTGACATGTAATAATGACTATAACCAGCCAGCCCTGAGTTTCTGGAAAGCTGTCAACATCCCTAAAACAAATCATAGGATGCTGTATAAGAAATAAGAGATGTAGAAGGCTATGCTTTCAAGGTAGTCTCAGAAGGCCAAGAAGAAGGTGGGCACACAAATTTGGAGAAGCAGTCTGCACTGCAACATAAAGGTGGAAGAGAAGGCGTAAGTAGACAATATCACCTTGGAATCCGTGGCCAGGAGAACTGTACCATCCTCACGTATCAAAGGCTGTTGGATGTTCACAAGCATCCCTGGATCAAGAAGACCTGTTTGTCTATTTAAGACATAAAGAAACCCAGAGTAGCTTCCAACATTTAACACAGTATGATCATGCTGCATTGCCCTGTCCCTTCTACATCTGCAAAACTGCCTGAATAGCAGAAAAGCTCTAACTAGACTCAGCCATCGAGTGACTGAACCACCCACCTTCTCTCTAGAATGAGATGAGCACAAAGCTGGGCCTACAGCCTGAGACAGGATGCCACACAGATACACATCCCCTTGGCTTCCATGCAGACTGCAGACTGTGGCCGCTTTGTTAAATAAAGTTAACTTGATCTTCAGAATATCACCAAGGAATTCTCAACTCTAGTTCTCACTAGGATACAGTTTGGATTTCTTGTTTTCCCTTTCTGTTCCTTTTAAATGAAGTTCGATAGATCACGTGGGGGAAAAAAGACATAAGTTAACTTGTGTTAACTATTTGGGACTACCTGGGGACTTAGGCCTTTTGTCTGTACTGCAGAAAAACCCCATCTTGAATTGCAGAGCAATTTATGAATAACTATAGGACATAACCCCAAGGCAGGAGAAAAGCCCCATCTTAAATCAGCCATCCTCAGGTCTGTCCACAGGCGTGACCAAAGCACCTCCGAAAAGGGTGGGAAGAGGCAAGACAAGGCTGAAGGCTGTGGCAGTGGGGAGGGAGCCACATAAGCTCCCTCCAAGGAATAGCCATGCCTCTTCTAATCAGCTCAAAGGCTGATGGTAGTGCTGCCCTTTGTCAAAACAGGGACTGACCTTGCTCCGTCTTTATCTGCCACAAACGTGGGAGTGGCTATCAGAGGACTTCTCAGGTCCTTCCGAATATAGATTTTCTCAGTTGAAGCAGCACAATTGCTTGGTTTCTCCCGTTGTACATCAAAGGGCTTCCGTTCACTCTGCACAGCTTAAATCACAACATAAATATTCACGTTTAGACGAAGGAGTCAAGTCATTAAAAAACTACATCCTTTGTAGTAAAGTCAGGGATCTTCCTTAGTAAGTCTGCTACTATAGGGATGATAAGCTCCAGTGCTAGGCACATCCAGCTCAATTTTCAGGGGACTTTTCAGCCAAAGCAAAGAAAAGTTCAAAGCCAAACAATGCCATGCTAAGTGTAAAGAGTTCAAGCTCATTGCCTGCTAAGAAACTTCAGCATGGCATTTGCATGGCCTTGTGGGGGGCCCACACTGAGCTCTCTGGGTTTTCACTTTTTGCTGCTCACAAAAGGCACTCTCCCGGAAGAGAAACACCCATCTTCAAGTGGGCCCTTAACAGAGAGCTTGTCTGATGCATGTGTCATAGAGAACTTTTCTAATGTCCAACTCAAGTCTGCATGGCTTCTGCAAACTATTTAATGGGGTGTCAATTTTCTATAACACTAGCAGTCTCTCCCTTCAGCAATCTGGTCTGAGAGAGGTATATGGGCCAGAAACAACTGAAGGAAATAAAGATCTTTTTAAAAGAAAGAAAGGATGAACCCCAGATCCAATATGTAAGAAAGCTAAGGGGTTCTATTGAGACAAAGAACCTATGGCTGAGAGAGGTGCCATGTCCTCCCCAGGCTTCACAGCTCCGAAGTGGCAGAGCTGGGGATTGATACTCCAAAGCCTGTGTTCACCCCACTGTGCTGTGCTGCATGCAGAGTTATCTGGAGGAGGTTTCCACACACACCACAGGGAAATGACCAATCGCAGCAGCATGGGTGCTGGATCACCTAGCTGCCCCAGAATGTTAACAAAAGGAAGCCTCAGTGGTTATTTTCCTCTTAGAGTATTTTAAAGCCAGGTATAGAAATCTCGCTTTCTCTCAACTTGCTAACTCAAGTGGCTTGTTCATACAGTTACTCACATTCCATTTTCATGCCCATCTCTAAGCATTTCTTCAGCCGGCAAAACTGACAGCGGTTCCGGTGGTGTTTATTGATGATACAGTCTTGGTTGCTCCGGCAGCTGTAGGTCAGATTTTTCCTTACACTCCTTTTGAAGAAACCTTTGCAACCTTCACAACTGACAGCCCCATAGTGCCGGCCTAAAAGGAGAAAGTGTGTGGGAAACAGATCACCAAGATAAGAGGTGATCCATCACAGGCCCTGTGTCTAAGGTAAGGCTATCAAAGTAACTGGTGCACAGTGTCTGGTGCCAGCAGCCATGGGACAACCACGAGCCTGAGCATGAAGCACGGCACTTAGGTTCTTCCCCTAATTTTCCTATGATCTTTAAAGTAGCCCTGTGATGTCATGATAGAAAAACAGAAGCTCAGATCGGTTACGTGACAGCTGGTATATGGCATGACCTTAATGCTTTTAGTACACGAAGGACCTAACATGCAGCAGCAGCTCACGGAGGATGGCTGAGCCATCCTGCCCACTTGTGCACACCTGCTCCTGGCTCTGCAGAGCTGGGCTTGTGAAGCCACTTGGCGCTCCTGTTCTGCCGACGGTGGCACACAGCAGAAGCATGCTTGAGCTGCTTTAGCACACAGGGCCCTACTCCTCCCTATACTCCCTCGGTGTGAGTCACGTCCTGGGCCCTACAGCTACCCTGGGGGAAGCGCAGGGGCTGTGGTTATGTAGGCCCAAGGTGAAGGAAGGGTGCATGCTATGTGGCTCCCTTGGATTAGGTATTCAGACTCTTTTGGAAACACAGTTCTAGAAGTACATTTATTACATACAATTCTTTTTTTCTAATCTTGTTTACTTTGGTGTCTCTAACTTCTAATGAATGATGACATTAAAAAGAGCCCCCCATCTCAGTTTACCCTTGCAAATACACCAAGCGCTTCCACATGCATCACACCTCCTTTGCTTCCAGCTGACAGAGGCCATGGATATGCTCTCCTGGTTTGATCTTCTGTAACTCAATACCATAGCTACATTGCACATTTCATAGGATCATCGCTGATGGCAGCTACTGAGCGTCCCACTGTCCTGAGCTGGAGCATGCAGAGCCATTCCCCAAGTGTGTACTTGGAGGGTCTCAATTTTATGCCTTGAAGAGTAGTACTAAAATTGCTGTGTAGACATCATTTTTCCTTCCTTGCGGTATTTCCTTAGCCTCCCTAGCCCTTAGAGTGACCTCTGATATCTGGAGACTGTGGCACTGCAAGCCTATGACTAGGCCATTCCTTTAAGCCCAGAAGGCGACTGACAAATGGGGAAGCCAAGCAGACTCTGTGGCCTCTTTGTCATGTCCATGCTTCATTCATCTGTTTAAAAGCTTGCAGAGTGCCTCTCCTGGCTGAGCAAGAAGATATAGAGATGGAGGGGCCACACATGGTTCTTGCTCTAACAGAAAGAGCCCCTTCTGGTGTGGAAGACAGGCCTGTAAGAATCAATTATAAGAGAATGTAACAAATGCCAGAGCAGTCTATACAGAAGGACGATGAGGACACAGACAGCACTGGCTTCAGCAAAGGGATGGGATGGGCTAGGTTTTGCCTTGTTCAAGATAAGGAGTGGGAATAGAGGCAGAGCAAATGGTACCATGAGCTAGGAGGGCGCTGGAGCTTCTGACCTCTGTGGATGTTTGTCTGGGCTGTCTTCCTAAGATGCTTGGTCCCACCTTTTTTTTTTTTTTTGCTTGTTTTAACTAGGACCACAAAGTGTCCAAAGTTCCTGGGAATTCTGTGACTACAGAATAAAGTGGAACCGATCACAAAACCCAGGCCTGTGCCCGGAACACAGCTGGAAGAGTACCTTATTAAATCCTTCTCTATCCTGTGCTCATTTCAGCGGCACCTATACTAAATACTCCTCCGTCCTGCCTGCCTGCCTCACCTTCTACAGCTTCCCGGCATTAGCAGGCTGAAGACTGAACTTCTGGACCAGACATCATCTCCAGTTTCCTTTCACCCACATCCTAACCACAGAAGTCCAGGAGCTCTTCTCCAAAGACACCATGGGTGTGGACAGTAAATTCACCGGGCCCTGGCTCCACCAGCCAGAACGCCCTCCTGCTTTACCCAACACACACACACACACACACACCCTCAACCTCCAAGCCTCACACAACATGACTGCCACTGGGGGACCTTGCCTGACCCTACGGCTCCAGCTAGAATCTCATGCTCCCTCCTCCTTCATTACAGTAGTTCCCATACTGGTTTATAGTGAGGGGATGGCAGACAGAGTAAGGATGAAGAAAAAATAGATAACACATCTTGTGAAATAGCAAAGCACTGTGCTAATACTACCTAGATTAAAGAAATGATTGCTTTCTTGGTAGTACGTAAATATTTGACACATAGCCAAGATTTATAAGTCACAGAAACAGTGTCTTGACGACTCCTTTTGATTCTAATAATCTGACAAACTGGTTTGCTTATTTATATCACTACCCCACTCAGAAAAGTGGAGTTCATGTTTTGAAACCTACAAATCAACAGAAAATGTTCTCTCTCCAATAATCCTCCAACCCCCATTTGGTTCAGGATGTTGGACCATGATGTGCACCTATAACCTAGGGTTACTTACCAGAGGCTTTGTCGCCACAGACCACACAGTACTCTACCACCTGCGGCCGCTGGACGTCGGCCTTACCCAGCAAGCGCTCCACAGAAGCAGAGTCCGTGACGATCTAAGAAGAATCAGGAAACAAGCAAAGTGCTGATTAAAAACCAGATCGTTAAACAAACTAATGTTTAACTATAAATTCCTCATCTTGGGTTTCTAAGCAGGAAAACCCTGGGCAGAACTGGGAAAATCCCACCTGACAACTTAACCTGATAACAAGAATGGCCCTGTTGCTCACCTAGACAGTGCCCCTTCAGGGGTGATGGTAGTGGGGGTGGGGGGGGTTTGTCCAAGGTCAGGCACTGGTTTTTACTCACTCTCCTATCTGGCTAGCAAATTGCCCAGGATGGGGGGCCATGTGGAGAATCACATGCAGATGCTCATACTGCAGGTCTTTCTGGCTCCTTCTCTATTCCCATGAAACAGCTTGGAATGTATGCCGAGAGGCATATTTGGCAGAGAAAGAATCAAGCTTTTTTTTTTTCCAAGATTTTTTTATTTATTTGAGAGAGAGAGCGAGAGCAAGCAAGCAAAAGCATGAGCAAGGGGGAGGGGCAGAGGGAGAAGCAGGCTCCCTGCTGAGCAGGGAGCCCGATGTGGGACTCGATCCCAGGACCCTGGGATCATGACCTGAGCCGAAGGCAGACACTTAACCGACTGAGCCACCAGGGGCCCCAGAATCAAGCTTTATTAATTAAATAACCAGGTCTCTCCTTGAGGCAGCTGTAAGTAGAAGGACTAGAACAGGTGACCTCTGAAACCTGTTGTTTCTCCTTCACTTGCAGGTGACTTTCTAGGTGACAGTGTTACTCATCTGGAAGAATACTGTAACTGACACCAATAGGAGAAAGTGAAAAATAGCTGTTATTAAATAATGTACGAACAATAACCCTTACCATTATTTCTGTATAGTGGGAATATATATAGAAATTACTATGTAGAATGACCTCTTATAGAGCATGCAACAAAATCCACAGCCACCTTCTCATGAACAACATAAAAAAGCAGGGAGGAATTTTAATTTCAGTTGGTCAGAATGTACTCTGGGAAAGGAGGCAGAATTTACTAATTGCACTATGAGGAGTCTCAAAAGTGCATTTTTTTTTAAAGATTTTATTTATTTTATTTATTTGAGAGAGAGCGAGCACGAATGGGAAGAGGGTCAGAGGGAGAAGCAGACTCCCCGCCGAGCAGCAGGGAGCCCGATGCAGGACTCGATCCCGGGACTCCAGGATCATGACCTAAGCCGAGGGCAGGCGCTCAACCAACTGAGCCACCCAGGCGCCCTCAAAAGTGCAGTTCTGAAAGCTGAACATCACTTGTGCTCTGAACCCAGTCCTATCAGAAGAAAAAACATCCTTTCTTTTCCTTATTTTTCTCCATAGTAGAAAGTCCCTCCCCACTCAAAACACATGGATTCTTAGCAGTATTCACAAGAGCCAAAAGGAGGAAGCACCCTAAACATCCAACAACAGATGACTATATAAGTAAAGTGTGGTCTATGTATATACAGTGGAATATTATTCAGCCTTAAAAAGGAATGCAATTCTGACACAGGCTACAACATGGATGAACCTTGAGGACATTATGCTCAGTGAAATGAACCAAATGCAAAAGAAAAAATATTGTAGGGTTCCACTTTGGTGAAGTCCCTAAAGTAGCCAAAGTCATAAAGACAGGAAGGGGGAGGATGGTTGCCAGGGCTGCAGGGAGAGGAGAGACCCAGAGGCAGCAGTTCACAGGAGCAGGTAAGGACAGAATGAAGAGCTGGGACCAGGCCTGACGATCTGGAAAAGATGAAGTGAGATTTAGGAATAAGTCAGTCCTCATCTGGCTGCAGTCAGCCCTAGGTGGGGCCCCTAAAATATCAGGGGCCAAGAACTGCCTCTGTGCAGCCTTAGGTTAGTTAGAACAATTCTCCAGTGGCCTTAGTACCAGCTTGCTCATGCCAGTCTCCTGTGGGCCACTGACTGTCCTGGCTCAACTTCCATCACATCTAAGCACTGCCTCCTGGGCGCCTTGCCACTCACTTGCTGGTTTTTTACTTCAGCCAAAGCAGCAATCTGCCATACTTGTAGGTCCTCAAAGGACCTTCTAGAGATGGATTTGGCCTTCAAGGCAGAGGAAGAGTCAGAAACCGATTTGGTAGCAGAAGTGCTGAAAGGAACGCCTGTCAACAGCCTTACCTGGATCCTGCCAGGGACGAGGTTGTCCGAGGTGGTGAATATGAGCTGCTTGGCACTGGATGTCTCCGGGGAAGCCAGGATCACCTTCCCAGTTCCAGCTCCATCTGGGCTGGTCAGGATGAACTGCTGCTTGGGGGATCCGGAGGCGTCCACTGCGGTGACTATCTGGATCTTCTGTCCTGTCTGCTGGTCTGTTACAATCTACAAGACACAACATGGAGGCTGCTCTCACGGAGTATCATGCGACTTGTGTACTTGCAGATGGTGCTCAAAGTGGTGACCGCCCAGTGCCGTCCTGGAGTCAATGCTGGTCCAAGATGCAATTTCACCAGTGCATGGTGAAATGAGAAAAATAAAACACAACCGTGAGCTTTTCAGAAACCAATTTTCATGGAGCTAATTTTATTTTAGGATGATATCATTCCTACTATTTTAATTAAAATGTCCTTTGAGGCGGTGGTGGGGTACTAGATGAAGGTGGTCAAAAGATACAAACTTCCAGTTTTAAGATAAAAAAAAGTACCGGGGTATGACGTATGGCACAGTGACTGTAGCTAACTGCTGGGTGGTGCATCTGAAGGTTGTTAAGAAGGTAGATCCTAAGAGTTCTCATCACAAGGAATAAGCCATTTTTTTCTTTTTCTTTTGTAGCTATATAAGATGATGGATATGAACTAAACTTATAGTGGCCATCATTTCATAATATACGTAAGTGAAGTCATTAAGCTGTACACCTTGAATTTATACAGTGCTGTGTGCCAATTATATCTCAATAAAACTGGAAAAAGAAAAATCCTTTCTTTTATGAAATGGAGATAATAATAGTAGATGATAAGTTTAACTTAAAAAAAAATGCCCTGTCCTAGGCATAATAAAGTCCAGGGAAGTCCTGACCCTGACTCCTCCAGAGACTCCCACCGTTCACCATTCAGGGGGCCAGCTGTTGGAGTCCGCCTCTTTCCAGAGTCCCTGCCTAACTGCATTGGTTACAACTGAAATAGTTGCTACAGCAAGACGGACTTGTCATTCCTGCTCCTGAAATTCTCTGAAGCTGTTCTACTTTCTGTCCTGCCTTCCTCGAGGCCAAGTGCCCAGCTTTGGAACGCTGCCCACCTTCTCCCTGGGGCACCAGCAGGCTCTCACAGCAAACAGGATTTTGGGGGCTGTTGTGGCTGGGCCTTGGATAAGGGGAGAGGTACTACATCTCTAGCTGGAACTCCCTTCCCTCTACCATATTTATGGGCAGGTCTGGCATCCGTGCTACATCTTGACGGATGCTGACTTGTGACACAGCATTCCAAAGTTCAGACAGCAAACTCACAAAGAATCTAGCACAACAACTTTGCCAACTATCCAATATGGAAAATCAGACAATGCTGGTTAGTTCAAAAAAAAAAAATGACAAAGATCCAATCACTTCATTATGTTTATGGAGTGTCCACTATATGTCAAACTCTGTTCTTTGTACTAGGGATAGGGACATGAACACAATAGAGCTCATACCTCGTGGAGTTAACCTTATATGGGGGAAACAGACCATGAACACTGATATTGTAGAGTATCAGTCATGGTAGGTGTCATAAAGAAAACTTAAAAGTAGAGTAAATGGACAAAGCATGTCAAGGGGAAGGAGGCAGGGGGGCTGCTTTAGAAAGAAAGATCTCTCTGATGGAGGTGATGTTGAGCAAAGACCTGAATGAAGCAAGAGAGGAAGCCATGCAAATATGTGGCGAAGTATGTTATAGGCTGAGGGCACAGCAAGCTCAAGACCAGAAAGAGCAGACTGGGAATAGAAGATGCATGAAAAAATCCTTAGCTGATGGTGGCGCATGAATCCCAGCATAGCATCATTTGCAACTGATCAAGGTCAAAAGATCTTGAAGGCTGAAGAACAGATTTAGAGAATGAAAGGAAGTACCTTTCATTGTTACAACCTGTGGCATACACACTCAGAGTCCCCTGGAAAAGTAAAACATGAGACAGAAAACTTTGTAAGAGGAATTCTCTTACACTTTTCCTACCCAATGCTGAACTGAAAGACTGCAGACAGACTGGCTGACATACACTTCTCTCAGCTGCCACAGAAGGCACTCCTACCTTAGTTAAAAGGTAACAAGTTGGCCTTTAGAAGGCCCTTATAACCCTGAGATCTGGGAGTAAAATGTCTGACTTCCTTTTCATGTCTCTCAAAACTTATCTACTTCCTAAATGACTTTCCCTGTTAACAAATGAAATACTCATGTGATTGAGAGGGATCTCCAATCACCAGCTATAACCAAGGCGAGGCTAGTCAAAGTCCTTCACGTGTTCAGAGGTGACACACTCTGCACCTGAGTACACAAAGTCACTGGCATGTCACCACCTTTGATGCTATTCCCCAGGCCTCTTGGTCAAGGCATGGCAGGTATGGGGCTGGGCAGGGGTGGGAGGTAGGAGTAACTGGGTCCAGCTGCTCTTGGTGGCTCTATGTAACATATCCCAAAGCTCAGATTATTTTTTTTTCCCCCTAAAGATTCAGGCTCACAAAACCCCAGGGTGACCCTCAGGCAAACAAAGGCCTTGCTGACAAATATCAGCAGGCAGATACCTGTTTAATGAGACCAAGGAAACAAACTGAGGATGTATCCAGACTTATTAAATTTCCCGAGGAGGGGTGGTAAAGATGTGCTGTTGGTAGAGTCATGTCCCCCCAAAAGAGATGGTTACATCCTAACCCCCCAGGGCCTGTGAATGTAACCTTATTTGGAAACAGGACCTTTGCAAGTGTGATCAAGTTAAGATGAGTCCATAATGGAAGATGGTAGGCCCCAAATCCAGTGACTCGTGTCCTTACTAGCAGGCCTGTGATGACAGAGGCAGAGACTGGAGTCTGCCTGGAGACTGCAGGCAAGGAACCCTGAGGATTTCCAGTCACTACCAGAGTCTGCCTGGAGACTGCAGGCAAGGAACCCTGAGGATTTCCAGTCACTACCAGAAGCTAGGAAGGCACAGAAGGATGCTTCCCTAGAACCTTACAGCGAGCATGCCCCTAGCAAATACCTGAATTTAGGCTTCAGGGCTCCAGAATTGCGAGAAAATAAATTTCTGTTGTTTTAAGGCACCAAGTTTGTGGTAATTTGTTATGACAGCCCTAGGAAATGAAAATAGGCAAACTTTATTTAATCTCTTCACTTGGAACAAATGTTCATACTCTCTGCTTGCAAACAGTAACAAATGGGGGGGGGGGAAGAACCTAAGGAGGAATGTCTTGTTTTCCCTGTGACTTTTTTTTTTTAAGAGAGAGAGAGAGCAGGGAGGAGGGGCAGAAGGAGAGGGAGAGAGAGAATCTTAAGCAGGCTCCATGTTCAGCGCAGAGCCCAACACAGGGCTTGATTCCATGACCCTGAGATCATGACCTGAGCTAAGAATTGGACATTTAACTGACTGAGCCACCCAGGTGCCCCTCTGTGACTCTTAAGGCCTCCCGAGGCTGGCTACATGGTTAGTACTGCTACAACTCTTGTTTTGAAAAGGTACATTTGTTCCAGTGTGACTGATATATTAGGGACTATTCTGTGCATAATATAAATCTTGTGTTTATGCATGACTTCTCCTGAGAAACAGTACACACACAGAGAATGATCCCCAGGTGAAGTGAGCGGGGTGGGAATAGCCAGCTCAGTACATGTGGTGTTAAGCTTTCCCTGATTTCAGATCACCCCACTCACAGCAACTCAGCAGCTACAATCCTCCCACATCCCCTCCACAAGCAAGCTTCAGGTCTCCTTCAAGGAAAAGTGCCATATTTATGGTTGTCATTATGTGTTTCTTAACCATTTAATGTATGTAAAACCGCAATTTAAATAAGATCAAATTCATACCTGCTTTTTAATGTGTCACCAACAAGTTCTGAATATTATGCCACTAACCCCACATACCCCCATAAGCCCTGTGGTTTCCACTGCAGAATTTTGCACAGTATGCGAATTTTTAGAACACATATGTCACATTATAGCACAGCTGACTACATACTCTACTGGCCCAAGGCCCTCTCTACTTCTACCCCAAAAGGACCTCAAAGATCTGACTTACTGCCATTCTCCTCCATGTTACCCACTCTCTGTTCCAGCCAAGCTGAGCTCGTCATTCATGTTGTAAAGAAGAGTCTGCAAATGGACAGCCTGAAGGCAAAAGACAGCCACTGGATAACTTTTGCTTGACCTCTCAGGGTTTAAAATTTAAAAAACTGGTTGGCACTAGCTGAGGATAGAGTATTTACCATAAGAATCAGACTTACAGTTCTTTTGACAAGCTGTCCCCATCCTTGCCCCCAAGTTCCCCTGTGGTTATCAACTGGCTGTGTGTGGTCGCTCCTTTGGATGGGGCACAGGCTCTCTGTTTGGCCCTAATTCCCACCCTGCCCACCTTCTTCACTGCCACCTGGTCCTGTAAACAGTTTGTGATCCTGAAATAGGGCTTTGCAGCTAGAGCTGTGAATGGAATGCTCATTCTACTGCTTCCCAACTGGGTCACTGTGTAACAGTTATATGTGCTTTCTGAGCCCCTGTTTACATATCTTTAAAAAAGAATTATTACATCTGAAGGCAGTTGGTACGAGCCCCAGAATATAAGAGGACCTCGCTAAAAGTATTTCCTGCTCTAAGCTCTCACATACTTGTCTCCTCATTGGGAAGCCTTTTTTACTCCTTTCACCTCACTGAATCTCCCCCTCTGACTTCGGCTCACTCACTCACTCATTCATTCCTCAAATGCTTACAAAGGGTCTACTCTATGCCGGGCACACTTTGCTAGATTACAGGCATGATGGAGATGGCTCCTGCTCTTGTGAAGCTTCTAAGTTTAGTGGAAAAGTGGCAAAAACACAAACAGAACAGCCAATGAACAATTTGTGATAAATGTTATGGGAGAAAAGATCTGGCTAGAGTAGGAGAGAGTAACACAGGCCCTTAACTTTTTAGAAAGCGAGGTCAAGGAAGGCTTCTGTGTCAAGGTGGCATTTAACAAGGATTCAAGGCTAAGAAGGGAGTCAGATAAAGGTTTAGGGAAAAGTGTGTTCTAAGCAATGGGAAATGTTCTGGCATATGGAAAGCCCTAAGAGGAAGGAACTCTTAGAACTGACATCAGGCCTGTGGACAATGAAGAGTGGCCCAGGAGCCTAAGGAGGGGGGTGGGCTGGCCCTAGTAGAAGTCAGGATTTCATT